AGCAGGTATTAGACCTCTCTCCTTGTCTTTTACAAGCATAAGAATTTTGTGTATTATTCATCACCCGCTCTCCACTGCAGAACTCAAACTGATGTGCTTGGGAGTAGGAGTAATTTGTTCACATCAAAACCAACAGGTACTTTTTGTTATCATTGCTCAAATGGTAGGAACAGATATTAAGCTGAGTCACACTACAGGAAAGCAAAGAGGTTTTGAAATGGAATTCTCTAGATAACCTCCCCCAAACTGCTTCCAACTATTTTAAGCAGAACAGAGAAAATCACTGACATCAACCTGTGCCTTTTTTCAATGCAAGGTGAGAAGGAATCTTTACAAGGCACTATGATCAACCTGGAAGTGCCAGCATCACCCTAAATTGAGTTGGCCAAGACAGAAACACAGAACCTGCACTGACCTTAAACTGACAGGATGCTGTAACGTTATCACGTAACAACAAGGCTGTCACTGACCCAAGAGACAGTTAATATTTTGGGATTCACCGATTTAGAAATAAAAAGAAAGAGATGAAGGTGGGTTTGGACCCGCTTTAGAATCTTTTGATTTGTATGTCAGGTTTTTCCTTTTAGTAACTGGCTTACTGTAAACTTGAAATATTCACAGGCATTTCTGCAGTGCTACATGACTTAAGTATTTCCTTCAGAATATTTAGGTTTAGAATTTTGAATTTAATTAACTACCGTGACTATCTATAAACTGTAGACTGATTCAGAAAAAAGAAGATTGCTAAATTTCTTCCATAAAATAAGCAGAGCTATTAGTTTTTACTAGGATATCCCCTGCTGTTTAAAATGCTCTTCATGAGTAGGTTTGGTCAGACAAAATGGCACTGCAACCTAACACACAGGTCTGAGGAGGTTTTGAGATCCTTTGCGGGTGTTTCTGCAGGAGGAAATTCCCATCCGACGTGAAAGGGCAGGGCAGGCGCAAACCACAAGAGGCTCAGAAGAACGTGGTATTACCAGAAGAGAAAATACAGGACAGACAAGGTGTTAAATTCTCAAAGATCAGAAAGTTGTTAAGCGCTTGTAGAGTCTGGAAAGACACATTTTTTCAGAGCATTTAGGAAAGAACATTTTGTTTAGCTCTCCAAGGATAAGTAAGATCATTGAAGCTTTCTGGTACGATGCAGAGAAGGCAGCACTTCTCTTCTTGGAAGGTTACTACCTGGGTGCATTTCCTTTC